CTCTGTCTGCCATGGGTTACTGTGTACTTTAGTAAAGACTATTTTCAGCAGTGGAAGCCATTAATTATATTTTCTTATGTTTCAGAACAAAGAGGCGTGGGTATTGTCACAGTTTTTTAAGACCCTTGGCAAATAGGAATGTTTCCTGGTTGGTTTTTCTTTGTGTATAAGTGCCACATATTTCTGCTTCTGCTAAAACCAGACAGGAGCAGGGAAAGTCACAGCAAACAAAAGCAAATAAACCAGCAGGCAAAGCACAGAACCAYCCAGAGCACCCAGGACRTGTTTGGTGCCAACATTTGTTGCTSTGTAGATGTTTGGACCCCTCCTGATGTGSAAGCACAGAGGGCTGAGGACAGGATCCCTTTGGAAGGATGAGATTCTGTGTTTGAACTGAGGACTGTGAGCAGAGCAGGGATGGCTCTGAAGGAGATCTGAGACAACAGTGAACAGGAAAAAGGAATGGAAGGGAAAAGCTCTCTCAATTCTGCCCTACGTTCCTAAAACACAAAGCCAAAGAGAAAACAAGATGTTTGCATCAATAGCTGGAGACAGGCCGTGCTAAAGCCAGAAAGTCAGAGATTAGAAAAAGACAAAAAGGACAAGAACCAGGGCAGCTGATCTGATCCACAWCTTCCCCCTTTGATGTCCCAATGTGTGTTTCTTCTTGAAGGGGAGGAGAGCCTACAACACTGTAAGGAGGAGCTGCAAACCACCAAAGGTCCAAGCAGGCCATGAAGCAGCCCCAGACTGCTCTGAGCTGGCTGGATTTTGGGTATGATTGTCCTGGAGGAATTATGTGTTTGTAATTCAGCATCAGGATTAAAATAACCAGTTGGGCAGAGGGAAAAATAAGACATCAGCTGACACTAAAAGCCATCAGGACTCTGCCACACAGCATGAGTGCTGGTTTGGTTATTTAAATTCAGGAAACAAATATTGAAAATATTGGCTTTAAGAATGGCGATGAAACCTGGTGATGGTGGGTATGGGCTTGAAGCTCTTCTATGGCATTCAGCTGTCTGCCTCCACTCCTCTCACTTTTGTGTTCTTTGACTTGCCTTTACTACTTCATGGAATCCATTTGTAATCCCGYATTGTTTTAAAGTTAATAGATGGAAAAGAACTGGAAGGAGGTTATTGTGTGAGCRTGGGCTGCTTTTTGGTGTGGGTTTTTTTTCTTTTTTTAAATGAAAGTGAAATGGGGTTGGAGGGTGGGAAATTTCTTCCTCAGCAGTCACTTGACAAATTGGTCATTTTTCATCTACTTTGAGTAGGGGGAAAGACTGTCAAAGAATTTGAAAGGAAAACACTGCAGAATCTTATTAATTGAAGAAAGATTTTTGGCCTTYGTTTTTCCAACCAATGAAAGCAAAATTCATGCATCATAATTTGGGWTATTGTTCCCTAAAAAGGCTAAAAYRAGTAAAACCAGGCAGACAGCAGATAGAGCAGGAAAACACTAAGGTATGAAAATAACCAAAGTCTGGATGCTGTGACTCTGTCAACAGTCAAAATTTTCAACACATTCATTTTTAATTTATATTTCATTTAGGAACRTAAGATTTACTATCATGGTTTAACCATTACTCAACTATACATGCTCTTGGATCTTCCTCCTCCCTGCATTCAGACTGTTTTCTGTATTACAACATATATTTGTCCCATAAATGCAGAGTWTACTGAAATATCACTGCTGTGTTACCAGAATTATGACATTCAAGAGCACAGAAGTGGTGAGGGATTCAGACTCCCTGCTTGGCAGGGGACAAAAGCAGGAATGTGCAATAACTGAGCTGATGTCACTGCAAACATCACAGGCTGTGGGTGCAGACACAGCTCCAGGGCAGCACACASCACTCCTGACTGAGCACAGGGATTAACTGCAGCAGCTGCTGGAAACCCCATTTACACCTAGAACCAACAACTCTTGCACAATTACACCYATCAAAATGGATGGTTTGGATTTGATCAGCCTCAAAGCCCAGCCAGTGAACTTTTAAAAGAGATTTCTRTTTTCCATACAAGTGTTGGTGAGGGGAAAAAGGCAAAGGAGAAACTTGCTCTGTCTGCCTACTACTTGTTTACAACAGAAACGAGGATAATATTTGAGTACAGCACAAAGAGATGTTCATGAGGAGGTGTTGGCTCATAGGTTGGACTTGATGATCTTGAAGGTCTCTTCCAGCCTAGCTCATTGTGTGGTTCTGAGATATCACCTGCATTTTCTGTCCTGCTCGATACACCCTGGCTATGGATGTTTGTGCCCTTTCAGGCACTGAGAGCTCACTGCCCCCCAACTACTTCACAGGAAAACTGCCTCCCTGGACACTGCCCCCAATCTGCTCTCTGCTCATCCATGTGGAGATCCAATCCATGCACTTGGCCSTGCTGGAGCACACAGTTTGGTAACACAATATTTATTTAGCACAGTCAGCAGCAGAGAGAGGCAGGTGCCTCAGTGCACAGCTCTGAGCACAGAACAAGCATTCCTGACCTCTGGARCGAGCTGCTTTCTCTCTGAACTGTTGCCTTCGCTGCTCTGAGCACACACCATACAGTGCTGAAGTCACCTCCACCTATATATATWTTTTTTTAGTAGATATTGCCATTGTAGTTTCAGGCATTCCTTCAGTACAAAAAGGCTTATCTAGAGACAATGTACCCAGAGATGCCCTGGATATCACAGAGACTTGAGCCAAACTCTTCTGCTCAGCAGATCCCTCTCTTCCTGGGTCAGGCACACAAACCATTTCCAAGTGTTTTTTCCTGATTTGCCTCTGTGTTTTTATGGCATTTCCTCCACTGCTGCTCAGTCAGTTGAGTGACTCCACTCACTGATGCCCCATTTCTTGTGTTTGGATTCACCTCTKAAGGACCCTCAAACCCATTGCTCAGGTTTGCCTGGTTTGTATGCACTGTTTGCTCGATGCCTTCAACTCTTCAGGCCATTTGATGCTGCTCCCTGTCCTCCCTGGGGCCAGGGGCAGCTCTGAGGGACATTTCAGCCCAGCCAGCTGCCCAGCAGCCAGTCCCTCCAGGTTACTGGTCAGGTTTATGAAATCTCCCCCTCCAAAATGGAGGTAAAGGCAATTCTGGCATCACTGTTCACTGAACTCTTCCTATTTTAAGCAACGTGAACTATTGTAAYCATTCAGACTCTAATTTAAGCAACCCCCTTTTTTTTGCAATCTTTTCCACTTATGGTTCTTATTATATTTTCTGGAAGTATTT